TGCCTGGCACATCTGTTTTCTGATCCTGCGCGTGCTTGGCCCCAGGGCCCCAGAGCCCAGTTCAGCGAATGTCAGTAGATAAATGAGCTTCTCCTTGTCGGAGCCTTGGCCCCAGCCAGTCTGAGCAGCTGGGCCACTATCTTTTCCCTCTTTTCATGGTGTCCGCATTTGAAAACCTCCTGTCCATGTTCACTGCTTCCCAGAGGCCTAGCCAAGTCTATGGGAGGGTGTTGCCATGCCCCTCTCCAGTGTCTGTGGTGTGGAGGTGCTGGCCCCAGTCTTGCCCCACCCCTGGGGAAGAGGTCATGGTGACATCACCTGACAGTCTTAGATATTTCTTGGCATTTCAAAATGACTTCAGGCCTCTTATCTCAGTAAGAGCCCTGCCTACCAGGAGGGTTATTATTACCCTCCCTTCCCCTTCACAGATTAATATGCTGAGGCCAGGAGGCAGTGTGGTGCCAGCTCTGAGTTCCTGCCCTGCGTCCACACCCTGCTTGTGTCTGGGGCCTGGCCTAGATCAGTGCCTGGCAGCAGTGCCTTGGGTGGAGAGTATGAAGCTGTCAGTTCAGTGACCCCAGCCTAGAAGAAAGAGAGACATAGAAGTTGCCAAAAAGGGAGAAATTTAGAGGAGAAAGGGGGCTCGGACAGGGAGAGACCCTGAGAGCTAGCACAGGTAAGCTGTGGACCCAATGTTTGAGGAAGAGGCACAGGGATCTGTAACCTCTGTGGCAACATCTTAGGCCTCCAGAGTTCAGGTCTCTAGGTCCCCTTCCCAAGGGGCACAGATTCAGCCTCCAGTGGAGAGCTGAGAGTTTCCCATCTGAAACAGCTGAGAGCTGCTGGACCTGCCCAGGCCACTTGAAGTGTGACTCCCATCACACAGGGTCAAGGAGTAGGAGGCTGGCAGTGGGGTCCTATAGCCCTGTCCACTGTGCTCCAGAAGTATGCTCTCAAACAAGTCCCTTTCTCTCTCTCTGGACACTTTTTTGGTATATAAAGGAGAACTGAGGCCAGGCACAGTGGTACACATTTGTAATCCCAGCATTTGGGAGGCTGAAGCAGAGGCTTACTGCAAATTTAAGGCTGGCCTGGGCTACACAGTGAGTGCAAGTTCAGCTTAGACTAGACAGCAAGACCCTATCTCAAAACCAAATCAAACCAAACCAAACCAAAAAATTGCACTTGTTCAGGTGTGGGGGACAAGCAAGGTGTATGGTATGGACCTGCTGACCCTCCTGACATTTCTCTTGGAAGCTATGGATACAGGGTTGGAGGTGGGAGAGCTGCTTAGGCTTCCTGATCTTGTTTAAAGGGTGATTGGGGGCCCTGGGAAGGGGCAGATAGAGATGGCAGGGTTGAGGAGCCCTGCTCCCCACTCTGGCCCTTGGCAGCTCCCCAATCCATTCCCTGCTAGCCCTGCATGTCCAGGGTGTGTCCTTTGAAAGGTCCAAAGCTCCAACTGGGTGGACATATGGTGATTTCATAATCCTGGGTTTCTTCCAAGCCTTTCCCTGCGGTGCTCCAGCCCGCCCTGTGGGCTCCCACACTGCTGCGCTGTAGCCCAGAATGGTTTTGCAATTACTAGTCCCTTTGGACACACAGGAAGCGTGGCCCCAAGGCCCCTCAGCCACCACCCCTCTGGCCCACCGGCGCCACTGAGTCTGCAGGCTGCTTCACGGAAGGGTGGGCCCTCCTGGTTTGTTGTGGGTGCTGGGTGGGTGTAGTGCTCCCTATTCCTCTACCTGACTAACCACCCCCAGTGCTCAACAAAGGGGGTCCTCAGGCTCAGCCTCTGAGATGTATTTGGAGACCAGGAAACAGGCTCAGGAGGTTGAGCTGGACTACAGCAAGCAGCAGAAGTGGGGTTCAAAGCCTGGGTTGTGTGCACACAACTGCCCTCCAGGTGCTACTCTAGCTGCTGATGTCATTTGTAGTGCTGGGGGGAGAACCTAAGCCTCATGCGTGCCAGGCATGTACTCTGCCATTGGACCACACCCCAGCCCCAAGGTGGCGACTTTGGACCAGAAGGCAGGAGAGTAGTTAGGAGTTCTTCTACCAGTTGGCTGGCCTTAGGTCAGTCCTGTGACTCTGCCCAGCTGTGATAAGAACAGGGCCCTGGGGTAGATTTTTTAGTTCCTTGTGCTCCATGGAGCGGAAGTAAAGTTCGTTCTTAATGAGCTGATACAGGGAACTGTACAATACACAGCTGCTGTGTGGGGGCTGGAACAGTGGGGGCCCTGGAGAGGCTCTGGGAACAGGGTACAAGCACCCCTGCTCTGCCCTGCTTAGCCTCTTTCAGAAGGCAGTGAGGTGTGGTCACACTTATCCACATCCATTGGTCTTTCTTCTCACACCCCCATGAGAGACTGCAGGGGACTTCATCCCATCAGACCTGGAAGGGCAGCAGTGGGGGTGGGCAGTGGCTGTTCCCTGCCCTTTCTCTTTAAGCCCCAACTCAGTGGGCCCTTTGGGCAGCCTCAGGAGTTTGCCCCAAATTGAGGAGTGGGCACTAAGAGCAAACTGTCCTCAAGGCCTGCCACAGGTAGAGTGCTCCATTGGGGCCAGCCCTCTCCCCTCACTCCCATTTTTCTTTTTTTTCCACTCCCATTCTACAGAGCTCCTGGCCCAATTCTCTCAGGTATTTTCCCAGCAAGTGTGCTGCAGCTTCCTTGTTTAGCTGCCACAGGCTTCTGGGATCCCAGGCAGAAGAGACAGCATTTAATCTTTATTGTGGGCCTCTTAAACCTGAGGATGGCTACACTTTGAGGGTGCTGAAAGCTTTTTCTTGTTTTGAGCTTTTATCAAGACAGGATCTTGGGCTGGCCAGATAGATCAGGGGACTAAAGCAGATGCAGGCACTGGGGTTCAATCCCAATCCCCCACTGTGGTGCAGGGCCCAGCCCCCTGGGGTGCAGAGACAGCAATTTAGACTGGCTGTGGTGGCAGTGTGTGCCTGTAATCCTAGCACTTGGGAGGCTCAAGACAGGATCACTGAATCTGACCTAGGTAGTGAGACCCTGTACTAAATGCATTTAACAATAATAAATTAAAAAAAAAAAAAAGATAGGATCTTGCTTTACAGTCCAGGCTAGGCTCAAATTCCTTATATAGTTCAGGGTGCTCTCAAACTTTCAATCCTCTAGTCCTAGCCTCCTGAGTGTTGAGATTAGAGGCACTATGGACCTAGCTGGAAGGTCACTTTGATTTGTTCATTTGTGTACTGAGGAATTCAATGGTAGTGGGCACTGAATCCAGGGCTTTTGTACAGAGCTATATCCCCTACCCTTTAAAAAAATTTTGAGGCAACTCATTTGGGACCCCTCCTATCTCTCAGGAGCTATTCTTATTTCCCATTCTTTTCCCCCAATAAACTTTGCTGATCTTTTAAAAAAATGAGGCTAGGGAGATGGCTCAGTAGAATAAGTGCTTCCCTGGCAAGCACAAGGGCCTGAGTTCAATCCCAGGTACTGCCAAAAAAAAAAAAAAAAAAAAGAAAAAAGAAAAAAAAAAGAAATTTGATGGGTCATGATCTCACTAAATTGCCCAGTCTAAGCTCAAATTTGCATTTCTTCTACTTCAACCTACTACTGCTGGGATTACAGCTGTTGGCCACTATGGCCAGCATTTTTACTTTTATTTATTGAAACATGGTCTCATGATGTAGCCTGGGCTGGCCTCAAACTCGAAATAAGTCTTTCTACCTCAGTCTCCATGAGTTTCATTTTTATTTTTTCAAGAAATGGTTTAAAAAAAAAAAAAAGAAATGGTCATGTTGTGTACTATAATCTGGGCTGGCCTTAACCTCACTATGTAGCCAAGACTCACCTGGAATTTGGAATAATCCTACATCAGCTTCTCAGGTGCTGGGATTATAGGTGTGTGTCAACACACTCAACTTCTTTTTCTTTTCCTTTTTTTTTTTTTTTTTTTTGGTACCAGGAACTGAGCTCAGGATCCTATGCTTGTCAGGCAGGCCCTGTGCCACTGAGCTATATCCCCACCACTATTCCCTTTTTTTGGACAGAGTCTTACTATGTAGTGCAGGCTGGCCTTTTTAACTTGCTTATGTAGCCCAGGCTGGCCTTGAACTCACAGCAATCCTGCTTCAAGGATTACAGAGTGCTAGGATCACAGGAATGCACCACCATGCCTGGCTGTTTTTCCTTTTAAAGGATTTTTTTTTTTTTTTTTTTTTTTAATGAGAAACAGTAGAAATAAGGTTGGCATTGGACAGACTTGCACTGGAATCTCCTGTCACCACTATTTGTTCACACCCTCCTGTCTCAGGCTCCCAGTGACACAGGTAGAACGCAGCCCCCCGGATCCTGAGGTTCTAGATGAACTCATAGGAAGCACATGTGTGGCACTGGAGGACTGTGACATCCTGGAAGTTAGCCACAAGCCAGCTGTAGGCACAGTGGCTGAGCCCCTAGAGCACAGTACTGGGTCCTCAAGCCCTGAAGATAAACACTGGATCACACCCAACCATCTCTAGTTTTATGGGCATGTCACTTCCACTCTGTCACTCTTTCCTGTGACATCAGCTGGCCCTCATGAACAGAAACCCTGGCTGAACAGATGCCAACCCTCCTGCTACTAAGGGCCCCACAGATGCCCACCCATCTGCCTAAGGATGGGTGGATCCCAGGTGTGAGCGAGGTCCATACAGCCGTTATGACTTTTCCTGACTTTAGCTCTTGCAAAAAAAACCACTCTTGCTGAGCCAACCCAAAGGGAAGGGGGTTATAATTCTTTGGGGACCACTATTACCCTATAACCATCTGCAGGACCCAGCTAGTATTAACAGGGAGGTGGCCGCTGTTATACAGCTGAGTGTGACTGGCAAGGAACAGCCACCTTGCTGTGGTAGGCTTGCCAATCTACCCTGTTGGCATCTTAGCTCCCCAAATGCTCTGCCAGCATCCCCACAGGGCTTGAGAGAGGAGAGCTATGGGCTCTTGGCCCTGGAAGACAATTGAGAACCAGGAGTCGACATTAGCACAGTTAAAACTTTCTTTAATGCAAGGAAACCAGTCTGTAGTCTGTTACCTTCCCCCCAAAGATGAATGTGAACCAGCCCTGCCGCACCTTCAACAGCAAGTCTGGACATTCTCCATCCATCATCTAATACTGAACACACCTGCGGTGCAGGTGCAGCACTGGGAGCAGGCTGTGGGTGGCCAGGTAACTCCCCAAAGCCTAGCTGACACTCCTACTGTGCAGACCAAGGCCCATCTCCTGCCCTGGGTAATGTCTGCCCTCTTGGCTGACTGTGCACAGGCATCCAGCCCCCAGAGGCTGTGTGGTGTGAACACTTGCTGGCTCTGGCTTACTGCTCAGACTAGGCGCTGAGGGGTTGGTCTAAGGTCCTTGGCAACCTTCCTTTGCTCAGCAGGGGTGAAGGAAGGTAGGGCACAGGGTGAAGGCAGAAAGAGGAAAGGACGTTTCCCTATGACCCCCATTGCCTGGAAAACTAGGCCCAGGTCAGAGCCACAGTCCTCATCTTACCAGCACCAAACCACACCCAGTCACAGGGACCCACCACTCACCCTAAGGTGGGGGCCTCAGATTCTGTGGAACAAGAAGTGAGGGTCTACAGTTCAGACACTATCAGACAGGAGTCAGGGTGCCCCTCCCCCCCTTGGCCAGAGAACAAATCTGGGCTGCTACACGCATACCCCACATCTAACAGCTCCTGAAGGGAGCCACCCACAGGCTGGCAAGTGGAGAGAGGGAGGCAAAAATCACAGCTTCTGAACAAGTGGTCTGAAGTTACTGGAAAATCTGGTCAAGTATGAAAGATGTCACTGTACAAAAGATCTATCTAGCTTATACATTTTTCTGGAAGATGTTCTCTCTCTCCTCTCCACAGCCCTGAAAAGACAGTGGAGGTGGCTGGACCCTGCTGGAAGAGATGCTGGGATTGGGGGTGTGCAAGGCAAGGGTGGGGCATGTGTGGAGAGCCCCAGCTGGAGAGGCACAGAACTGATTCACCCCCAGCCCAGGCAGAGCTGGGCAGGGAAGGAAACCTTCCCCTTGAGGTTAGCTTTAGCATGGAGACAGAAGGGACAAACTGAGGGGCAGCTCAGGCCCCAGTCTACAAAGAGCTCTGAGGCAGCTGCCAGGAGGAGCCATTGGCATCCCTAGGATCAATGAGGCAGCCCATGCCATCCCACCGGGGACAGTGCATGGGAGGAGGAAAGGCTGGGACAGGAGAGAGGCTGTGTCATGGGACTGTCCAACAGAGGAGGAGGCGGCAAGAAAGAAGGCTGCCTCTAATGGTATATATTAAAAATATCCAGAGTTCTTGTGCACAAAATTCCACCATTCACATCTGAGCCTCATCCCCGCCTCCCCAGCTGGGCCCAGGAGCTGCCTTAAAAGAAAGATGGTGGTTCTCCTATTCAGGCTGAGGAAACAGTGACTGGTCTTTATGGACCTTTAAAAACGGCGACCCTTCCCTTCCCTCAGCTGCTTCCTCCAGGCCTCAGTCTCTGGGCAGGTTTGGAGATGGCGAGTGGGCCGCAGGGTGGCCCAGGGGGCCTGTCACTCGTGCCTGCGCTTGGAGGGTGGGATGAGGTGTGGGGGCAGGTCAGCAGGCAACTCATGGCCCTCCAGCTTGACCTTGATGAGGTGGTTAGCCAGGGCAAACTCCTCGTCGTCTAGCAGCCCGTCCTTGTCCACGTCAGCCAGCTTCCAGATCTTGCCCAGCACAGTGTTGGGCAGCTTAGATTTCACCATCTCCTTCTTGGCATTGGCGCCTGTGATCTTACCGTTGACGGGGGACAGTGTATAGAAGATCTCATCGTAGGTGGGCTTATCTTTGCCCACCACCCATTCAAGGTCGTCAATGCCCTCACCGGCACCTTCACCGTAGCCATGCCCAAAGGGCCCATTCATGGTACCATCAAAAGCACCGCCTTTCACAGCCTGGGAGGGCATCTGGGACTCCTCCTGGCGCACCATCACCATCAGCCGTGCGATGTCATTGGCCAACATGTCGTCTACTGTGTCCAGCAGCTTGGGCTTTAGGGCCTGGAATTTGCTGAAGTCCTGGGTCTGCAGGAGCTCCTGAGGGAGCAGGGAGAAAGAGGGATGGGTAGCAGCTTCTCCCAGACTCCAGGCAGAGGGCTGCTTCCCCACCCCCAGCCGGGTGACTCAGCTCACTCCTCACCTTTTCCCTTTCCCCAGGGGCTAGGGTCACAGGAGTCCCCTTCCTTGCAGGGTTGTGGCAAAGACACCCACAGGAAACACAGAACAACAGGCCCAACCCTCTCTGCAGCTGAGTCAGCACATATCCCACTCCTGAATCAGAGCCTGTGTTGGGATGACGCCCCTGGGAGGTGGGTGACTAAGTGTCTTGGGGAGGCCCACCCCATGGGGCTGGGATTCCCTCCTAAGCCAGTGCACTGGATCAGGCTCTGAAGCCACAGCCCACACAGGACGCTAGGGCTGCCCCTGGGCTGTACCTGCATCTTCCGGAGGCTTGGAAAATCACCCGGGGATATCTGATGCTCCCGCTCGATCTTCTGGTAGATCTCACCCAGGTTGTTCACGAGCTCTTTCTTTTTGCTCTCCTTACCAAAGACATTGGGCATCTCCTTCTTGAGGGAGCTGATGATGTAGGCATGGACCTGTGGGGACAGGATGGGGTTGTGTCAGGGGCTGGCTCAGGGCTTGAGGATGTGGATGTAGATGGTTCCTGCTACTAAATGGCTGAGCTCAGGGACATGCAAGGGCTGGGGTCCAATTCAGAGCTGCTGCCGCCCCTCTGCAAGGAACCCAGATTCTAAAGAGGCTCACAGCTCACTGCCACGGAAAAGGAGGAAGAGAAAGGATAAAAAGGCTGGAATGCTAGGGATGTAGCTCAGTGTGAAGGCCCTGTGGTTAATTTTTCCTACCCCCCAACCCCTAAAAGGACAAAAGAAACGGATGACAACATCCTTTATGTGAGTCATGGAGACGATCGAGGATCAGCAAGGCGCAGCCTGCCAATAAGAAGCCACTTGCTGTAAGGCAGTCTCTCCTCTTTACCCTCACCTAAGCCTCAGGTTAGAATTTAGCATCAACCATGGATAGCTGCAGAAGCCTGGCCCAGCGCTAAGCACAGGAGCCCACTGGGAACCCAGGGCTCCCAAAGGTCATCCAGGCTCCCTGCTCAGCTGATTCCCTGCAGATCCACAAAGTCCCAAATCTATAGACTCTGAGGACTCAAATGTATGTGGGATCCGTGGCCAGGGCACTGTTCCACTGCCTGTGGCTGTGTGTGTGGCTTATCTAAGCTTCCACACCTCTCTCAGTCCTTTCTCCACCAAGGTGTCCCATCCTTCATGTCCTTTTTGTGTCAGCCAGGCCTCGAGGACAGCCCAGCCCAGCCCTCAACCCCTCTGCCCTGCCAAGGGATGGCCAGTCAGGCTCCCCTCCTCCTATGCCAGAGATGGGACAGCAGTGAGGCTCAGGTCACCCCATCCCCAGGATACTATGAAGGGCTGCTCATAGCCAGGCCCTACTTGGCCCAGCCCAGCAGAGCCCAGCGCAAGAGAGTTACTGACTCCGGAAAAGGAAGAAGCCATACAATGGCAGGTGTGGGATGAGCTGGAGACCATGGGGTTTTCCAGGCACGGTGACTCAGTGTGCCCTTGGGCCAAACAGTTCCTCTCTATGAGGGAGGGTTCTCACTTGGGGGTGGTTCTCTACAGCCACTCTAGGTCGTCAGGGCTCCTCCTCCCACCTCCTTTCTCAGACCCCACTCCTATTTGTAGAGAAGTGAATTAGAAAAACCATCCAGAACAAATGTGGGCTGCTGGCAGGCATATGTGTACTGCCCCAGCCCTAAGGGGTACTGCCCAGTGAGGCTCAGCGAGGGCGAGGAACCAGACTGCCAGGGAACCATGAGCCCTGTGCTGTAGAGGAGGAGACAGCAGTGGTCAAGGTCTTAAGTCTGGCCTTGAGACAGTGTGCAATGCCTTGGGGTCTAGGAGTCAGTGGCCATGAACGCAGTAACATCAATGCCTATGCAGGAAGTGCCCTCCTCAGTCCTCTGTCCACTCGGGAGCCTGCAGTGATTGTGTCATTGGCCACAGACAAGGCTACCCATGAAGCTGGAACACCCACAAGGTGTCTGCCCCTCCTCTGTGCACCGCAGGGAGCTGTGAACTCTTTACCCTTTGCAGTGAATGGCTCACACGAGTCCTAACCTGGCCTCAGCTGACAATGTGGTTCTCACAAACTGAGCTTAACCTGCCTCAGGGGGCAGCCACAGCCAGAGCCTAGCTTTTCTTTTCTTTTTTTTTTAATGAGCAAAATATATTTGAGAGAAAGAAAGCTCCTGTCCCGAGAGAGGGATAGGAGGGGGGCCCAAGCGGGTAGTTTCCCTCTTTTTTTATTTTTTCACTACTGGGGATTGAACTTGGGACTTTGTGCTTCCTAGGCAGGCACTTAGGCTACTGAGCCATATCCCTGGCCCATCATTTGTTTTTAGAGTTGGGGAATCCTCATTATGTTATCCAGGCTGACCACAAACTCCTGGATTCAAGGGATCCTCCTGCCTCAGCCTCCCCTGTAACTGAGACCACAGGTATATATCACCATCCACAACTTACAGCTTATTCTTTTCTTAAAAAAAAAGTATTTGGTTGTTGCAGGGTCTCACTACATAGCTTGGACTTGTAGTGATTTTCCAGCTTTCAGCCTCCCCAGTGCTGGGATTACAGGTGTGTGCCTCTATGCTGGACTCTGCCCGTCCTGCATACAGCCCGTCCTGGGGGCAGGTCTGGCACAGCATGTGGTGCTGGGGATTGAACCAGGGTCCCTGTGCTTGCCTAAGCTTGCCTAGGCAGGCGCTTTAGTCCACTGAGCGATCTCGCTGGCCCCTTACAGCCTATTCTTAAAACCCCATGCTGTGTCTGAGGGAATGCTTGGACACTGCCTGAAAGTACAAATATCTCAACTCAGCTACCACTCAGTTGTTCCCATATGTCAGACTCAGATGCAGAGCAGCAGCGCGGGGCCCTCCAACTCCTAGATGCATGCAGTTACCCAAAGCCAGCCACCCCAAAGAGCTGCCTTCTGTCCCTCTGTACCACTGACCTCTGTCTCTAGGACTCTCATTCAAGCACCTGGCCAGGCACCAAGGGCCCTGCACTCTCAGATGGCTAAAGGCCTGTGTGTGCCACTACCAGTTCATGGGCTGTGGCCTTAAGCACCTAGTATTCCCTCTGGATAACAGGCTCCTATCCTTCTCTTCATTAGCTACTTCCTGCCCCAGCTTCAACAGCAGCTCCCCCTGAGGCCGCCCCAGGTGTCCGCCCTCTGTAGCATGTGGGTCTCCCTAGCAAAGACACATTTATTTTCCTTTTCATTTGTACATTCTGCTTTCCCCCAAAGCTGGGGGATGCTGGTATGGGGCTCTGTATGTCATTTTCCACATGTCCCCAGTGTTCAGCAACAAACTCTGGAGGGGAAGTCAGGAGGCCCAGAGCCACAACCCACCACACCCTACTTCCGGGGATACTTCCTTGGCAACTTCCTACTTGGGGTTTCTAAACTGTCTACACTGTCTGCACACTCAAGGCTTTCTATCATGTAGGTGGTGTGAGTCCTGGACAGAAGTTCTTTCTGCACATGCGATGGTCACACAGGTCCAGCTCTGCAGTAGTCAGTGGAAGGGGTCTGGGGCAAATAAGATCCCCTGAGTGCCAGTCCATGATCCCTAGGCCTTTCCCCATCCCATCTACCTTAGCCAGCCTGGCCCGCTTGATCAGGTCGTTGAGCTTCCTGAGGGCAGCATTTCGGGGAAGAGACTGGATGTCTTTGAAGAGGTCCTGTTCCTCAGCCTCAAAGAGCTTCCGGTTGTCTGGGATGAGCAGTGGGTGGGACCAGAAGGAGCCAATGTAGACTCGGACCACCTCAGGGGTGTTGATGATCTTGCCCAGGGACCACATGAGGGCCCCATATACTCGCATCAGCTGCTGCGTCTCAATCTGGTCGGCTTTGTTCAGCACCACCCGGATCTTGTCCTCATGGTTCTTCAGAGCCTTGATGACCTCAGAGAACTCATCGGAGATGTCCAGTTTGTGGGCATCGAAGAGCAGGATGATGCGGTCTACCCGTTCTGCGAACCACTCAAGGACTGCTGCAAAATCGTACCCTGAGGGAAAAAGAGGGCTGAGCTTAGGCACTGAGGGACCAGCTTCCAAACAGCACCACAGGCCAGTGCAGTGCCACTGGGTCCTCTCTCACCTTTCCCTCCTTCTGTATAGCATGCTGATGCTCTCACCAATCTGCCATGTGAAAGGAGTTACAAAGCCCACACTGCAGGCTAGGCAGGGCAAGGGAGAGGTGCCTCAGAAGTGCAGTGGGCAGAGGTGGCTGTGGGTGCGGCCAGCTGTGAGCTGTGTGTCCTTAGACAACAGCACTCGTATTTGCAAGCCAGGCTCCTTATTCTGCAAGAATTTCACTTATTTCCTATCATAGGGGCTGCCCACTATTGCTCAGGGGCCAAATCTGGAACACATCTGCTTATGCAAATAAAGCTTTATTGAAACACAGCTACTCATTTGTATGTCTATGGCTGCTCTTGTCTACACTAGCAGAGTTCAGCTGTTGCTGCACAGCTGACAACACTGACTCTCTGACCTTTCCAGAAAAAGTCAGCTAGTCTCTGCTCTATAATCAGCCCACAAAGTGGTATAAACCACTTCCCTTTTGGGGGATGTTAAGTACTTTGCTAAAACAAAGTGGCTGAATTAGACAGACTCTAACCCTATTTCATGCTGTTTCCCACCACCAATCAAGGTCAACCAATGAAAGTGGCCCAAGCCAAATGTGACTGGGCTAACTGGAATTCCCCCATAATAAAAGAACTACTTGGTCTTCCGTAGCAAGTGCAAGGGCCTGAATTCAATTCCTGGTTCTGCAAAAAAAAATACTACTCAGTGTTGGAAGAGTCATGGCTTCCGGCTTAAAACTGTATTTTCAGCCAGGCATGGTAGCACGTGCCTGTAAGTTCAAGGCCAGCCTGGGCTCCAGAGTGAGTTCAAGGCTAGCCTGGGCTGCATTGACAAGACCTTATCTTAAAAAAAAAAACCCAAATAACCAAAAAACAGACTGCATTTTCCACCTGGCAAAAGAAAAAACAAAAATGTATGCATCCTTTGTGATTTTCTCCCTGAGGACTGGGATGCAAATGCAATGGTAGAAGCTGGAGCAACCATGATGGGTTTAAAGATGAAAACTGCATGTTCAACAAGAGAAAAGACAGCCAGGGAGAGAGCTCAGTAGAATAAGTGCTTGCCTGGCAAGTGCAGGGTCCTAGCACAGAGTCCTGAGTTCAATCCCCAGTACTGAAAAACAAAAAAAAAAAAAAAAAGGAAGGAAGAAGGAAAGAAGGGAAGAAGGGAAGAAGGGAAGAAGGAAGAAGGAAGAAGGGGAAGGAGAAGGAGGAGAGGAGCCACCCCAAATGTAGGTTGCCCTCTTGGAACCACTAAGCACTTCCCAGAGAACAACTGAGCTCCAAAGAGCAGCAAAGCCACTTCTAAGGGAAGAGCCTCAATATCACCTAGTTCCCTCCTGCACAGCCTGTTCGGCTGTCCCACCACACAGGGCATTGACATACATCCCTGACTGCAGAGGACAGAAAGCAAGCAAGGACTGCAGGAGATGGGCCCATGCAGGACAGCCCTCACCCTCCCTTTTGTGAGCTCTGCTGAGTGTACCACAAGTGGGAAGGCAAATGGCCCTGCCCTGAAGGTGCTCTTGGTTCCCATCAGAAAATCCCTCTCACAGAAGGCACAGAATCCCAGGCTGCCCTACAGGCAGCCACTCCCACAGTGCTAAACAGTCATCACTAGGTCATGCTCTGCCTGTGAGACACTATACCTGCTGCCAGCCTGGGGTCAAGTGTGCCTCAGAGCTGATACAACCTAAAGCCACGGGTGCCCAGCCTTGAAATAGACTGCTAGGGACTCAACTCCAGGCTCCAGCTCAACTCTAGGACTTTATATACTTAACTTCTCAGTTATGCTTTTTCCATCTGTAAAACAGCATCAATGGCAGGCCTCCCAGGCAGCCAGACACCTAATCAGTGATCAGGAACCAGGGACAACAGGTGTTTGGCCTGGCTGAGGTCAGAGACCTGTACTTGAGGCAGCTCATTAAAACATAAGGGAAGTTCCAAAGCCATTGCTCCTGGGTCTGAGAGGATCACAGCTCGGACCTGTGATCTGTAGTCCTTTCCTGCCCCAGAACCCAGGGAAGACACAGGCCACTGATCAGAAAGGAGTCTTGACCTCAATCTGCCTTCCTAGACTCCAGCCTGCAGTCTAGGTGCCAGGGACCCCAGGCTTCCTGTGCTCAAGTGTGGGAGTGCCAAGCAAGGGCCAGGTCACCTGCACTGGCTGTCAGTCACCATCACAAGAAACAGTCCCAAGGTACAAGGGCCTGCAGGCACCCTGGCTCCAAAAGCAGAGGGGTGGGGTGGGGGGGGGGAGAAAGCAGGGAGGGGATGCCCAGGGAATGAAACATCAAGAGAAAATGGAAGGGAAAGGCCAACAGCATGAAGGAAGCCAGATGAGAGAGGTGGCCACTGCACTGGGGCCACAGGCTTGTGCCCCAGCTGACCTCAGGGCTTTGGGGCTGGCTCTGGGAACACAGGTCAGCATGGCAAAAGCAGTGACTCTGAACTAGCAGAGCTCCTCACTCAGCAAAGGCGAGGCCCAACCTCTCTCTGTCAAAATATTTATCCTTGGCTCACCACAGCTAAAACTGTAATTCACACAGCTGGAGATGCAGCAATGCCAGAACCGAGTTCCTGGGAACAGGGGCGCCCCAGTGGGCTGCACTCCCCAGCCATGTTGGCTTTGGCCTGGCAATGAGGTCATGTCTCAAGTCCCACCCGGTGGGGGACCACAGAGAGGGAAAAGGAAAGTAGGAAGAGCAGTCCCTGAGCCACTCTGCCCCCACTGCCACCACAAGCCCAATTCCTGGTCAACACCTAAGCTGGGGTCAAAGAAAAGGAGCTAAATCCATTTTTTTTTTTTTTTTGCAGGTGAAACTTCCTGTTTATGATGGAAAATCCTCAAACTTTTGGTGGGAGGGAGACACAATGGCTGGCCAACTACACCCACAGGTCACCTGAAAGGTCACAGCATTCTGGCCTGCGCCACATGGTCACAGGCTCCTCACTGCACTCAGAGGTGCCCCATATGGCATGAGACTGAGACAAGGAGCTGTCAAGCACATTGGGTCCTCACAGCTGGCAGGCGTGTCCAAGGAGCTGCCATGTAGCCCAGAGCTTAGGGTGGGTAAGAAGTGCAGAAATAGGGCTTCTAAAATGCCAAGAACTGTTCATAGTAACCAAGCTTCAGGCTTTGGGACGTGCCATAATTCGACCAGGTGCGGGTAGCCACTCTTTGATGTATCAGCAACCTTGTAGCAAAAGCCACTACTAGGGCTGATGAAATAGCTCAGTGGACTAAGCACCTGCTTAGGCAAGCGCAGGGACCTAGGTTTGATCCCCGGCACCACATGCTGCGCCAGCCCTGGCCACCACCCCATCCCACCCCCACCCCCAGCCCCAGCACACTGAGCTGGGCACTGAGACCAGGCATGGTGGTGCACACCTATAATCCCAGCACTGAAGGAGGCTAAAAACAGGGATCACTATGGGTCCAAGCTGCATAGTGAGCCCCTGTGCCAAATACATTAAAAAAAAAAAAAAGCCACCACTAGGCGAGAGGAACTTTGGCCTGTGGGTTAAGGCACTCTGTGGGTAATTCCAGTTAGGGATGGGGTGGCAGAATGTGAAGGGGAGACAAGTGACACCTGGATTCCTACCAGGAACACAGAAATGTGGCTGTCTTTGGTGAGGAGCCATGAACCAGGATAAGCTCTGGCCCAGAAAGATCCAGGCCCAGAGACGTGATGCTTTATGAAATGTGTCCCTCACAGGAGGATGACTGCACAAAGATGAGGTAGAGCAGCCAGGGCAGGGCTGGGGCGCATAGGCTAGCATTCCCCAGACAGCTTCAGTGTGGGAAGATGGAGAGTCCTGGGATGGATAGAGTGATGGCTGCACAGCAATGTGCGTGTCCCCAACATCACTGAACTATGCACCTAGAAATGGGTAAAATGAGCTGGGCTTGTGGCGCAGGCCTGTAATCCCAGCAGTTGGGAGGCTGAGGCAGCAGGACTGCCATGAGTTTAAGGCCAGCCTGGACTACAGTGAGTTCAAGGCCAACCTGAACTATATAATAACAAGACCATGTCTCAAAAGGGTAGGAGGGTCACAGGAAAGGTGGAACAGGCCTGACAAGAAGCTGAGCACCACTCCCCCAGCCCCACCTACTCTCATAGCCCACTCTCCTGGTGCATCTGCCCACCTACAGGTGGCCTTCCTAACAGGCCATCAGTCCAGAGGTGGAAGATGCCACCTGCCCTACCCTGGCCCCCTCCAAAACACAGGTAGCTACAGCAGCTGGGGAAAAGCTGCTTCACACATTCTCAAAGTTTCTAGAACACAGAACAATAGAGGGTTTGTCTTCATCCAACTCTAGTTTCCTGCCATTCAAGCTGCGTGGGCCTCGGTGTTTCTCGCCAAAGCCCAGAACACATTTCCACGGCAGGGAGTGCAGGAGTGCAGAGTGGATGCAGCAGCCAGGCCAGGTTAACCCTGAGGACCTCCAGGCCAAAGCTCTGAAGGAAAGACCTGTCAGAGGTTACACGGCAGGCCAGCCCAGCATCCACCCAGGAAAATAAAGCCTGTATCCACACTGAGCACCGTACACAAATATTTTTGGCAAGTTTACTCCCAAATGCCATGAAACTGGGGCCAACCCAAGTCCCTTTGATGGGGGGTGGATCAGCAATGGCACTTTTGCTGCATGAGGTATGACCCTGCAACGAAAAGGAAAAGGAACCAGCCTTGGGGTTGGGGTCACAGCTCTGTAGTATAGCCCTTGCTCAGTGCTGGCTTCAAGCTCCAGCTCCACAAAAAATAAATGTACTTTAAACCCAAAAAACAAGAGTGAATAATTGATTTTTTTTCCCTACATCCCTGGCCTTAAATTTTTTTTTTTTTTTTTAAATTTGACATAGGGTCTCACTAAGTTGCCCAGCTGGTCTTGATCTTGCCCTCCTCCTGCCTAAATC